GGCCCCGGCCCCTCCGCAGCGACCTTGCCCCCCTGGGGCGCTAGCCTCTCCTCTCGCGCTTGTAGCCGGCGGTGCTAGAGGCTCGTCTGATTAATGGGCTGCAGCAAAGGACTGGCGGGGGTGGGGGGAGGCGGGGCGACGAAGCCCTCGGCCTGCGTGGTCGCAGGGAGTTGCCAAGCTGCGCGCTGCTCCAAGGGCGGAATCGGGCGCTTGCAGGTGACGCTGACCCGGAGTCCTCCGCCCGTCTCGGCGTCTAAACGGCCGCGGCTGGCGCGGAAAGCTCCGTGGGGTGGAGTGCAGTCTTTGTGCCGGAGAGAAGCGTCTCTGCCCAGCGGCAGCGGTCCCGTGCGGAACAGAACCTGGGAAGGCGCGGCAGAAGAGGGGTGATCGAGCCTCCCATGCCCGCCGGGGGCTTTGGCGGGGCAGGCCAAAGAGGCTTCTTGCTGGGTTTCGGGGCTGCGGGCTCGGGACGGGGAGCTGGCGGTGTGGCATCAGCCGGCCTACAGACTTTTCCCCGCGGAGGGCTAAAGGGGAAGAGTCCGCAGTATCCGCTCCCCGGAGGCCCTGCTGCACCGCTCCAGCAGCCACTTGCGGGGGCAGGGCCCCTGGGAATCCGTCTCTCTCCAGGCCCGCGGCCGGCCGGACCAGAAGATCGTGGTGAGTCCCCATGGCTTGGCTGGGTGGACAGAGAGTCCCAAAGCAAGACGGGCTGGCCCCTCCATCAGGTTTGGTGCCAAGGGGGTGGGGAGCCTTCGCCAGGGCCACAGGGGAGCAGGAGAGGAGCTTAATCGCCCACTTCTCTTCCCACAGCTGGTAGCTGCCCTTTGCACCCAAGCTTTCCCAGAGCCTCTAGGTGCAGCCCGGCAGCTTCCTTAAAGGGCACTTCACCTGCAGAAAAGGCTGCCAACAGCACAATATGCGCTTCCTCCATGCTGAGCCCTATTCTGTCTCGATGGTGGTGCTGTGGAGATGGAAGGTGGATCCCTCCCACCTCCGCTGCTTCATTCCCCTTGCCATCAAGCGTTACCTGCCAGTGGGATCAATGGCCACCATTTGCTTGCTTTCCCATGTGTAGGTGCAGGGGGTTCAGAAGCCCCTGGCTGATTCGCCTGAGAGGCGGAGGCACTGAGGCGCTTGATACCTGCAACCTGCCAGCTGAGTTATTTCTGAAGGCTCTTCCTTTGAAAGAGCAACAGTCACATGTCCAAAAATGCCTGTCTGGCTGGTGACAGACATGGAGTACCTGGTGCCCTCAAGAAATAGCTGAGCCACATGGGACCACGGCCAGCCATAGCTGTGGATAAGCTGCTTTGCGCACTCTCTGTACGCATTTTCTCCTTCTTTGCAGCTTCTCTTCTGGCAGTCTCTTGTTCTCAATACTCCTTTGTTTGGGGGCACTTGTGGCTGTCACATTCCCCGAGTTCAGCCATTTCCCTTGGGCTTGTTCTTGCGCCCCTCTCCATCTGAGTTCTGCTGCATCCGACCCACGGCACTCATGGAGGCATTGCTGCCAAGGTTTACTACAAGCAGCTTAACATACAGACGGAGCTCAGACATAATTAGGCACGCAGAGAGAGACAGTGTAGTAAATAAGGCAGCTTAATACGCCCCCTTTCCTACTGGCATGACTGCTGCTGCTGCAAACCTCCTTTCCAGACATCAGCAGGTGCGCTGGTTGCTTGCCACAGGGCTAGCCAGGGCTATACCTTTCCTGTATAAGAGGAAAGGGGGGGAATGCTCAAAAGCAGGGGTGGCTGTGAAGGACACGTTTCTGTCATTTCAGGTAGAAAAGCTAGCGAGGTTGACATCAAATGTAGGAGCGTCACAGACCCAGCAAGTCAGGCCAGCTCACAGGGTGCCATGGGTCACGCAAGGCAGGGCTTGTCCCCCATCCCTTGCACCCCCGTGAGTTTGTTCCTTGCCTGGTGGTTAGGCTGAGCCTTCTGAGGGGGAAGCATCTCAGTTCAAAGGGGGGGGGTCAGGAAGACCCGCACAAGCTCCCAAATTCTCCCTTTCCTGAGATATGGCACTTTTCCAGAGTCTCTCACGCCTCCCTTAGTGAGCTGCCCATTTTGCTGCTTCAGCCTTATATTTATCCAGGAAATATGTCGGTGGGCACATTTCATTTACTCCAGCCTTCCCAACCATTTGTCCTGAGGCTATTTCTCTCAGAGTTCCTAGATAATGGAACTTGCCTGGTCATCTGCATTTTCCAGAGCTCTCTGTCATGGTTGCGCTACTACCTTCTCCACAATCATTTCAGGCAAAGCTATCCATCAGATCTCATCTCTGAGCAAAGGGGCTAAAAAAGTGATGAGAAAAACACAGTATAGCCTGTTTAAAATGTATTGCAATCTAATATTTTGCATGATAAGACTGAAGCTCTTAATCTCCAACTGTTTTCTTGAGATAATTCTGATAAAGAACTTTGTAATGTGGCCCTTTAATATCCATAACTTCTTACCATTCCTTTGATTTACCTCTCCAAATTACAGGGTTTTAGCAAGTTTAGATAAGAAAAGGACAAAAATAACACTGAAGAATACCTATGGAATCAACAGGAGTGAAGGCTGAGGTTTATGGAAATATGGAAAAGGCATAACTTTATCTTTCTAAAAGTTCTTTGAAACTACACACTAATACTCAAAACTATCCAAAGTTGATAGTTCTCACCAGCATGAACCTGCTACTGTTCACCACTGTAGTCCTGCTCCTTCCTTCCTTCCTTCCTTCCTTCCTTCCTTCCTTCCTTCCTTCCTTCCTTCCTTGCCATGCTGCTCATCTCTGCATTGCACATTGCCTGTTGCCAAAGACAGGAAGAACATCATCAGAGATCGGGGCTATTATGCTGCTGGGCTGTCTAGAAGCAGCAGCCCAAACTCAACATTATTCAGGAATAGAATAATGGCCATAAGGACCACCATGGGAGATTCACAGTAGCTAGCTGGGACCTGGCTTTGCACATCAGCACACATGATTCCTGCTTTCAGTCCTTTAGACCAAGACCCCAGAGAGTCATCCGGCTGGCCTCTGACTGTGCAGCTTCTATCTCCCCATCCTCAAGCATCTTTCTGGCCCTTATGACTCTCCACTTTTCCTCTTTGGCAGGTGTGGACCATCTGCTGGCTACCACTGCTGCACTGTAAAGTGATGGCATTGAGGACAATCTGGGCAAGGGCACCCTTCTGTGCTGCTAGCCTTGGACTTCTGGTTCTAGTCTACGCCCTGCCTGCTGAAGGGTAAGGTGGCAAGGACGTGGGTCTCTGGTTCTAACACGAGTGGAAGCAGGGGCGGTTGGGTCGTTCCTTCTGACCCAGCAGTGATTGTAGGGAGGGAGGCAGCAGCCTCCGTTTGGACCCACATTCTGGCCCCACAGGACTGATCTGCTTATTGGGAGCTGGCTGAGAACTTACTCTGCTCAGTTCCTGCATTAGAGAATGGGTGATTCAGGCAATCTTTTGTAGGCTGCATTCACTGCTGGGTCAGCCCCTGAACCTTCTCGGAGACAAGAAGTAGGACAGCTCTGCTGGGAGCTATCTTGAGCCCCCATTCATCGTTTGCCATTTGCTTTCCGTCAGGCAGAGCAAGACCTGAGGGCAGTGAGCCATTGGAGTCTATAGCCCAGAGGGGAGAGGAAGGGCTCCCCTCGGCTGGACGCGTTGGGGCAGAGGCTGGAGAACCAGTGGCTGGGGAGGCTTTAGTTGGGGTTCCTGCACTGAGCAAGAGAGCAAACTCCGTGGCCTTGAGGGCCCTTCCAACTCTGAACATATGGTAGTGCCACCAGAGAAGAAATGGAATAGTTGTATTTATTGTTTGCCCTTCTTTCCTGTGTTTGTCCGTGAAATTAATGTTGGCTGCAACTCACATGTTTCTGAATTTAAACCTCTCCCTCCCTCCTGTGTCACTGTGATGCATCTTGTGCATTTTGCAGGTGTGGGTGTTCTTTTCCTGAGTTTATTCTCAGAGTTTACAATCCAGAATTTACTTCCTACTTGCTTTGCATAACTCTTCCCCACGAAGAGAATTCTGACATGTGAACATCACTTTACTACTGTGGATAAAGGTAGTCCTTGTTTAGTGACTGCCTCATTAGCAACCATTTGCAGTTATGACGGTGATGAAAAAGCAACTTTGCAACCAATCCTCGCATTTACAACCTGCACAGGTCTGTAAAGCCAAGGAAAGTCGAAGTAAGATTATAAGCAGATTCATGGTTTCACTTAGCAACCACTTCACATAATGACTGAGTTGCCAGTCCCAATTGCGATTGCTAAATGAGGAGTACCTGTATAAAGAAATCTTATTTCAGAACAAAACATAAAAACTCAAGTGACCTGCCCCAGCTCCACACCCACAAGGCAGTATGTTCCTGCTGAGCAGTGTTCCAGGGTGTTTGCTCTAGTAAGCAAGAGACTCGCTTATACAACTGCCTGTTCCTCCTCACAGGGCACGTGTGTGGTTGCGGGGCAGGGGGCCGAGGAGGTGGTGAAGATCATGAAAAAGCAGTGAGGAGACATGGGGGGGGGTTCTTAGTGGGAGAAGGCCTTGTCTCAAACTCCTGGGCACTTCCATGAGGAACTGCATGCAACCATCTCCTCAGGAAGCACCTGCTCACCGTGTGCACCAGCAGACAGAGCCAGGTGTTTTCCTCGTGCAAGAGAAGGATGCCAGCACCAGCCCAACATGCTGCACCTTCTCTTCTTTTGCCAAACACATGTGGAACAGGCAGGGATGCCCAAGAGTGGTGGGCTGCTTTGGCAGTGATCACGCTGCAGTGACATTGCTACGACCAGCACTCTTCCAGTCAACCCAGTCATCTTCACAGTCGGCCTAGGAGAGTGGCGATTTGGCAGTAGGAAATCACCTTCTTTTCCTTTCCACAGCGTAAACCTAAAATTGGTTGAGCTGTTCTAACTACAAAGAGAAAAAAAACAATTTAACACAAACTGGTCAAGAGAACAACAGCTGACTATCACAAATCCTACAATTACCCTTAAAAGGAAGCAATAAATTAGCTAGAATTTGCAAACAGGAACTGTTCAATTAACAGAACAATTGTCCTCAAAAACCTCAATAACTCTTTGCATATCCACCCTGGGGCGATAACAACTGCTGTGTATTCTATAGTAACAGCCCCAGAAAAAGGTGGGGAGAAAAAAAGAATAAAGGAGTCCATGTAGCAATAAACCTTAGAATGAAAGAGTTTGACAACAGTGTCATTTGGATTAAGTATCACCAGGAGAGGAGCAAAGGATAAAAAATCCAAAGGAAGGGATAATGAGGAAGAAATCCCAATATGTGATCAAAATCAAAATTCAAATTTGTTACAGACCTGTTGGTCAAGTAAATAAAGGTGAAGGTGCAAGTAAGACATGAAAGGTGGTAGAAGTGGTTTGATTGTTGTACTGGTGAAGATCTCCATTCCCCTCCCTTCCTCTGCAGAATGCAAAGCACCCATTTCTCAAGCTTATACAATCATGGACTTTACCCTAGAGGTCATCTAGTCGAACCCCCCTTACTCAGTCTGGATGCACTACAACATCTCTGATGGAAGGCTACCTCTGAGCCCCCTTTCCTTTGTTCTGCTTATTCCTGTTAATCAACTTTTGCTCCCAAGCAACCTCTTCCTTTTTCTCTCACTGTTAAGGCAGTGATTGATCTCCCTGTGCTAGGTGATGGTGGAGAGAGCCACAGAGGTGGTCTTGAGGGAAATATCCAGAGGCTGTTACAAAAACAAAATGGGCAGAAGCATTCCTTAAGCCCCAGGAGAGAAGATAGCATTAGGAAGAAACTCAGGCTGGCTCCTCCCTGACTCACTGGGCATAAGAAGGATGGGAAGAAAACACAACCAAACTTGCCAGAGTTTATTAATAAAGTCTGTCTCAAGAAAGCTTAGTTCTAGTCTTCTTATGGAGTTTGTTTCCTGGTCTGGACAACCTCAAAGGACTGACAGGTAGCAGCTCACTGACCAGTCGTCTCATAAAGATGCTATTCATCCAGCATATACAATTCTCAAACTTGCCTTCCTCCAGCAACCCTGCAGATGCAATCTCTGGGCTAGATCCCCTTCCTTGGAGCTGATTACAGACATAGCATTGGAGGGAACCTCAGGGGTCATCTGGTCCAACCCTCTGCTCCCACACTCTGCTAAAATATTCTGGACAGATGGCTCTCTGCTCTCCCTCTTTGAAGGCCTCCTGTGAAAGTGAATGTACCACTGCCTGGAGTAACATCTTTCACTGGTTGACAGCTCTTAAAGAAAATTCCTCCTAGTAGATTCCACCCATAGGTTCAGGTTTTGTCTCCTAGGGCAACAGACAACAAGTCCATCTCCACTATTAGACATCTGAAGGCTGCTATCAGTTGTCTCCTTAGACTTCACTTCCTCAGGCTGAATGCTCCATTAACCATTCTTCATAGGATTTGATTTCCAGTCCCCTCACCATCTTGGTAGCCCCCCCCCAAACTTACTCCAGTCTGTCAATGTCTCTTTTAACCTGCAGCACGAGGCACAGTATTAAAACTGGGGCTTAACCAAAGCAGAGTGAAGTTGGACAATTACTCCCTATATCCAGTTAGGGTGTCCCAAAGTGGCATCTGCCACACTGTTGGCACACGTTCAACTTGTGATCTACTAGAACACCCACAACTTTTTTGCATGTTTTACTACTCAACCAGGGCTCCTCATCCTAAATGTATGCATTTATTTTATTTTATTTTCCACAGAAGCAGGACTTGATATTTCTGCTGCTAAATTTCATTCTGGTTTGGGTGGTCTTTGTTTTGTTTTGTTTTGTTTTGTTTTGTTTTGTTTTGTTGTTTGGGAGGGACTTCCCAGTGTTTAATATGTATAGATCTTTTTTAAATGTCTTTTTCTCTTCTAAAGTATTAGCCACTCCTCCTAGCTTTGTGTCATCTGCAAATTTGATAATCGTCCCTTCAACCCATTCATCCAGGTCATTAATAAAAAGGTTGAGCAGCATAGGGCCCAGGACAGAGCCCTGCAGACTCTACTTGATCCTCCCTCCAAGCTGAAGTGGAGCCATTAACAAGCACTCTTTGGGTGCAGCCAATTGTAAGTCCATCTAACAGAAGCTTCATCTAGCCCATATTTTGCCGCGTAGTTAGTTAATGATGCCGTCGCTGGCCCTGCCTTTGTCAGCCTTTGCAGGAGTGGAAGTATGGAGGAGCTTTGCCAGCAGGGCCATGGGACTTGCCTGAAATCTCTGTAGAGATGGTCTGGGATGGCTGGTCATCATCTAACCCCTTCTCGGATCAGTTGGGTGGGGACTTGTCACAATATGTCTGACTCCCCTAAAGAGATCACCGGGAAGATCTGATAGAGAAGTCTCCCTAAATGAAGTCATGTTTTGATCTTTCTGTCTCTCCTTGACATGACAGACTAGCCCAAAAGCATGGCCCCGATATCATTGACGATGACAGCAAAGACAACATCACCATCTTCACACGCATCCTGGACCGTCTGTTAGATGGGTATGACAACCGACTAAGACCTGGTCTTGGAGGTAAGTCCATTTTACCAGTGTTTCCGGTGGTTTCTTGACCTCCTTGAACTAAACTCTGTTTCTCCTTCAAGCTCCTTGCACCCTTTGTACATGGGATGTCTCTGTTATTTGAATTTATATGTCACCAGCTCCTGGTGGCTTACCTTGCTCTGTGCTCATGAACAGCTGCTCCTGTCTCGGGGTAGGAGAGGTGGTGAAGTCTCCAGCAACACAGCCTGTGGGTGCAGTGCTGGCAGCGCAGAGCATTCATCCTCCTACTTCCTCGAGTCCCATCTGCACTTGTCTGGGCAGGTGTTCTGTCACCCAGTGAGTGTGGGCGAAAAGTCACTCCTTGAAGACCTAGGAACAGAGCACCTCCCGTCTTGACTGTTGACCACTTGGGGAAGCCTGAGAAGCTGGGGGAGCTCAGGGCTGCTGCGGTTATCTTACCAGCTCTCTCTTGTCTACAAGGTGCAAAATAAGTCATTGGCAGGACCAGCATTGCCACCTCTGACTCTCCAAGTCATTTCGACACCAAATTGGTTTGTGCTTAATTCCGAATGGATGTGGATTTACATTCACCCAGTAGTGGCTGGGATGTCTGCTGCTAATCTCTTCTATATTGTACATGGGTAGGGTGTGATTCTATAGTTGTGCTGTATTCAAGGAGATATAGCCACGTTAAATTGCTGAGTGGATGGGAACGGTAGTTCAACATTTATACCCAGCCCAACCCTTCCTGCTCCCTGGCAGTGCAGCTCCCTGTCAGAAGGGAAGGCCGGGTCTCCACTTCTCTCTTGCCCCAGGCACCGTGTCCTGGACGACCAATGCTTGTTCTTCTCTGCGTTGCCACTAATTGAGCCCAGATACGCATCCCCCACTTGGGGGATTTCTTTTTTTCTGCCTCTAGGAAAATACAGAAGTCTGTCTGGCTTTCCAGAGACTGCTTGCTCAATTCTGACCTGAGGATGCTGTCATGGCAACATAGCTGCTCACTGAAGAGAGATCCTGAGAGTTAATGGGCAAGTTTGGTCTACCCTCACCATGCAGGAAAAAGCTTATCTGTGCACACCGATTTGCATCCTGGGGCCTGTCATTGGCCTGCCTCTCTCTCTTTCTCTCTCTCTCTCTCAGGCACACCCACACCTGCACACCTGCAGCTTTCTAACCTCTGCCTAGGCAATGGGGAGGGGCTTGGCATCTTTGAGCAAGAGCGCTTGCTAATCCAGCCTCCCTACTCAAGGTCAGCAAAGGACCCTTGGAAGTCCCAGGCTCACCCCACATCTGTGTCAAGGCTCCCCTTTGTGCAAGCCTCCCTTCCTTTCTCCCTGAGAGAGGACTTCTGGGGGACAATTGCAACCCAGGGTGCCTTCCATCCAGGGCATGGTGCAGCTCACTCGGCTTTTGCTAGGATAAAGGGAGCATGGCTACCTACTGAAAGCAGCAGACCATGTCACTAGGAATGAAGTAGGGGAGGGGGAGGGGGAGGACCATCTCTCTCCCAGGTTTGGGGCAGGAGACCCTTTGTTATTTTGATATTTTGGTCACCTAATGCGAAGAGAGATCTCTTTGGAGAAGACCCTGATGCTGGGAAAGATTGAAGGCAAAACGAAGAGAGATCTCTTTGGAGAAGACCCTGATGCTGGGAAAGATTGAAGGCAAAACGAAGAGAGATCTCTTTGGAGAAGACCCTGATGCTGGGAAAGATTGAAGGCAAAAGGAGAAGAGGACGGCAGAGGATGAGATGGTTAGATAGCATCACTGAAGCAATGAGCATGAAACTGAGCAAACTCAGGGAGGCAGTGAAGGACAGGAAGGCCTGGCGCAATATGGTTCATGGGGTCACGAAGAGTCGGACACGACTTAACGACTAAACAACAACAACAACAACCCTTTGTTATCTGGCCAGGGCCACGGAGGGCAGCTTGGCATGTGCTCCTGCCACTCCCCACTCATTGCCCCACTCTTGCCTTCTGGAGCACTCCTGTGCTGGGCAAGAGGCCCTCTGGGTTCCACCCCACCCCTTGTGGAAGGGCTGCCAAAGAAGAACGGCAGAGATGACCGTAGCAGGGCAGATCGCCTGGCTCCCCAGCTTTGCTCCAGGAAGAGCCAGTTCCATTGGCTGCTCTGGGAGAAGGGCAGCAAGAAGACTGGCAAACTGGGGGGCAAAGTGAACTGATCTTGATCGGATTTGTACCAGGCTCAAAGTTGGATAAGCAGAGTTCGGTCTATATGGCCCCAAAGGAGAAACCGGCGGCCTGGGTAAAATTGTGATAAGAGCATGGGGCAGGGTGGCTCTGTATGTCAGAAGCAGAGACTGTAAATGTAATAGCATAGCCAATAAAATGAATCAGTGCATCCTCTGGTTGAATGTGGGGCAGGAATCCCGTAACTGTCCAAGCAGCCGCAGTGAGTGGGGAGACCGAAATAGGTTGCAGGGGACTTTCCCTGTTGCCATGGTGCTTTGAATTAGAAAGGGTGGCGCTTTGGGGGGCTGGGGAGTAGCTAGGCAGAGTGGGCTCTGCGCAGCTGAGCACCCTGCGCCAAGAATTGCTCTATGAAAGCGGCACTGGCAGCAGGGAAGGTACCTCCTCAAGCAGTCAGACATGTGTCCCTGGGATGACCTGGATTCGAAAGGAATAGGGGAAGAGTCACCTCAGGCTTAAGCCAACCATTCCACTGTAGATTTTGGTCCCACTAGGCATAACAGGTCTTCTTTTAGGGCTGCTTGGGCATGCTGTCAAAGTGCAGGTCGTTGCCAAAAATTCTGACGCTGCTGGATTTGCTTTCCAGGCTGAGGAAAGCAAATCCAGGCGCAAACTTAGCGCCTACTCCTGAAAAGGTGGTTAGCCCCTTTCCAAAGGAACAGCTCTTCTGTATTGTGGCAAGGTTATGTGGTTTGCGGGCCAAAACAGGAAGGGGTGTCCATCCAGAACAGCCCTTTGCTTTAAGTACCGAATGGAGAGGTGTTCATACAGAGCTTCATGGCCTCCAGTCCAGGCAAGCACCTATCTTGACTGGTGAAGAGTCCAGCTCCAGATCTTGCTGGGGCTGGGACGCAGCCATTCCATGGCCTGGCCAAAGCACTGAATTGATTTGATGAAGAAAAAGGACCCCTGTAGCTGTCTGACCTCAGGACAAGGAAGACACACATTTCCTGCAGGGCCTGCCTTCCAAGTCCAGATGTTTGTATTTAGCCCTTGGTAGCTGGTAGGCAGCTTGGTAGGCTGCCTGTAGACATCTATGTAGAGGTTGCTTTCTCTACATCCCTGTGTTGTTGCTGTCCTTTTAATTGACTGCGTGGTTTTTTGTGTTGCTCTGTGATTTTAAATTATGAAGAGCTGTAGAGTTCACAACCGTTTATAAATGTGTAAATGTAGGAGTGCTGTTAAATAAACGCAAGAAACATCAAAGCACCATCACCATCAAAGGAACTAGAAATGGGCCAGGTTTATCCAGAACACATCTGCGGATGTGTTCACAAAATGCAGGAATTGGGGGTTTTCTAAGATCAGCAAATAGGGGGACTCACCTTGGGTAATCTCCCCCAACCCCGCTGGCCTGCGAGCCTTCTGAAAACAGTATTTCTGGAGCGCACAGCAGGAGGCAAGAGATTGTTACCCCCTGCATAACAATGGCACCCACTTGTTCCACATCCAGAAGCCTGTAAAATGTCCAGTGCTGATTTTATCTCAGAAGAAATATGTGTCCGTTGTGTGCGCACCCTGTTGCGGGGGCCCCTTCCTTATTATTCTTTTCTTCAAAATTAAAGTTCATCCCATTAATCCAGCGATACCATTAAGGCTCAGTGCATTTTACTGCCACCAACAACCCTTTCCTGAGTTGGAAATTCTTGCGGTTTTTCCCTCTTGGTTAACCATCTTTTGGTGAAGTTCAGACATGGAATCAGCTGTTATAAAATAACTCTGAATGGGTTGTAGATCAGTTCCCTTGTTATTGCAGCAGCCCGTCTCCCCTGGCCTTGCGTGTGCACCCTAAGCCCGCCCCCTTCCGCCAGCCTCCCCGCCGCGCTCACCTCGGCTCCTCTCCCTCGAGTCTGGGAGGAGGATGCTGAGCCAGCTGGCTCCGTGGGCAAGAGAGCCAACCTCCGATCACCACTACCACCGAGTCCACTGATAGCTGCTCTGCGCCATTATCTCAGCCTCGCTCAGCAGAAGCGCCGAAGAACATCCCATTAGGCAGGAACCGAGCTTGTGGCTGGAATTTTCCAAAGCTCACCCAACTAGCTAAAGAGAAAGAGAGCGGCCCGCAGTCTTCAGAAGCCCATTGAGTTGCACTGTGTACAAACACTGGTTTCTCGTGTGTTTCACTTTGCATTTGGCTGTTTGGGAAAAAACAATGTATTTCTTTGACCCGACGTGCAGAATAAATGTCGGCACTTGCCAGAATTTTATATTGGTTGAGCTTGAGCACAGCACAGGCTGTGCTGCCATCTAGTGCTCTTCCAGGTTTTTGCAACCCAAATACGGTAGCCCTAGCAAAGTGGTGCAGCTTTTCAGCAACTTTCTGAGTGTGCTCTGCGTGACAGACTTCTGCTCACGCCCGGCTGGCACCGAGTCGCCATACGCTGCTCAGAACCTGTCAAGAGGCCCAGCACTCTTTCGTTGGGTCTGGTCCAGTGTATCAGAGGGCAAATGTAACCTCTCAGCCAGACCATGGTCCCACTCAGACAGAGCTGCCAGGGTCTACCGGGGACGGTCTCTGTTGCTCGGGTTCACCTCTGCTGCAGTGCAGGGAGGCCAGCGGGTGGCAGCCTAACACGCCAGTTTGGGCTTGGGAGCACCCTCAGGCATTGCACCATTCGGTAAAAGTCACATGGCCGCAACTGGGAAGGAAACTGGACAGAATCAGAGCGCAAGGAAAGCCTGTTGCATCTGCCCTATTTTCTCACAGTGCAGAGTTCAAGCCAGAACAACACAAAAAATGGACGGTGGCAGAAAGGAAGAGGTAGAATTCCATAGGCCGTCTGGGAGGGCTCAGCTCAAAGTCACTTCATGGATATGAATCATAAAGAATAAATCCACCTCCCCCAAAGCCTCTGCAAAAAGAAAGCGTCTATCCTTGGCAAAGACCTTGCTGAGGTTCCACGTAAAGCTCCGGAAGGATTCTGTCGTGAATAACCAGGAGTCAATTGGGGCCTCCTTTAAAAGCAGAATCCTCAGCGCAGGAACAAGCAGGGGTGACTTTGGAGCATACGGCACTTGCCCGGATAAAAAAGCATGTACACAACAACCCTGCGTGTAACGTGCTGCCGAATAAGCATTTTTCCAGTGTTCGGTGCCTCCTCAGTAACACACAGCAGCACACTGAAAGATGGGTGGAAGGCATTATGGTCCCTAAGGCCAGAGCAGAAGGCCTCTTAGGGATGTGTTTGATCCCAATTTGTAAAAAGAGAGACTACCTGAAGTTGTAGAAAGCACCTAGAAGTGAAAATGTAAAATAATCTAGGGACTGTCAGCCGAGCTGTATAAAGAAGATCTACAGGAAAGTTTTTTAGTGTCACAGTTTACTATTCATCCCTGTACTTTACAATTCTTTTTTCTTCAACTGCCGCTTGAAAAATTGCTAAGATGAGTGATGGCTTTATTTGTTTAGATTTATGTCTTGCTTTTCATTCACAAAATCAAGCTGGCATACGTACAGCTTCTTCCTCCCATTTTCCCCCGTAATAACCCTGGGAAGGTAGGCTTAGGCTGCGAGAGAGCAAATAGCATGAAGCCACCCAGCAAGCAGCTATAGACTCCCCCACCAGTCAGCATTTTGCACCAAATTCAGTTTCCAAAGCAGTCTTCAGCAGCAGCCCCACGTGAAGTGTGTGGTTTAAGCATCTCATCAGTCATTAAGCAATATGTAAACGTGTGCCCTTTCACAGAATTTGGAAGCACTATTCTTGGATGAAGTCTGATGGCATGACAGGAGGTCCATGGGTTACAACATGTGTATACGTCTGTTCTAACTTAGAAATCCTATAAAATTAAAATATAGACTTTATGCCACTTCCAATTTGAATTAAATTCTGTATCTGATTTACTTTTGAGGTACATGGTTATTTCAGATATCGAAGGATCCTCCCAAGGCACAGACATTTCAAGCAACACCAAGATGCTAATTTTATATCGAGGTACGTTTGCTCTGTCGGTACAACTCACTTTCAATAGCTATTATGTTTTCTGTTCTTCCAGATACAGTTACTGAAGTCAAGACAAATATTTATGTGACAAGTTTTGGCCCTGTGTCAGACACGGACATGGTGAGTGACGCTCTCTGTTTTTCTGTCTGGAAACATCCAGAGGTTCCTTGGGGGCAGAGCAGCATTCCCTTAAAAATGTCTCGGCATCACGGCCTCTCCTTTCCCAAAGGTCTGCCTGTGGTTGGATTGTAGAGGGGAGGGCTTGAGAGCAACAGTGGGGTGATTCCACCAGGACTTCCATGGCAGAAGCAGGAGCCCACCAGGTATGTGTTGAAGGGCTCAGTAGGACCAGTGTTGCCCTTCTGCTGTGGGGAGAGGGAATGGTTTCCCAGGGCTAATGGAAAAGTCACCCACGTCCCTGGAGCTAGACTGTCCATCCCACTTTTGGCCAAGAGCAGGTTGGCAAAAGCTGCCCCTGGAGGTGCCAACTTTGGTTGGCTGCAAGGAAGTCAGTGGGGCTCCAAACTCTGGTGGGGTAGAGAAGGGATGGAGGGATACTGGGAAGCCCTTGAGGGAAAATCGTAATGGGATGGCTGTGATCTGAACAATTCCCCACTTAGTTAAAGCAGCTGTGAAACAGAATCCCATCCATCAGAAGAAAGCAGGACCAGCTTTCCACACCCAAAGCCGTGATCTTTCTGGGACTGCGGTGAGGAATCTTCCTGGGATTCTCCAGCTAATACTGACTGAGATTGCTGGCAGGCTGGAATTCTTTGGCTCGTTTGGTGCCACAAGGCTCACTTCCTCTGGCTCATGGAGAAGCTCTTGCCAGGACCGCTGGCTCATCTGCACTTACTTGCTGGGATCTGCATTTGCGTCCTTCCTGAGTCAAAGGGAGCCGAATTGGGCTCCTGCTGGTCCCTCTGTGTGGGCTGGTGGAATGAGACATTTGGCTCCCCGCCTGAGCCATCAGTCCTCCCACGACCACTGGCTTAACATACTTTTCTCCAGGCCATGAGGCACTACCCCCTGTGCCAGCATAATTGCTCTGTTTCTACAACATTCTCCTTTCTGCCAATAAAACAGGAAGGGTTCCCCGCTCCTCCTTTGCCAGGAAGCCTGGTCCACTAGGGATTCCTCAGAGCACCTGATCTACAGGGTGGGGGATGGAGGAGGCTTGCTAAAGCCCCACTGTCACCCCAGGCCTGTGGAACAGGCACCGCAGGCGATCCCCATGAGGGACAGTGGGGGTCGGCAGCTTGCTCAGTGGGATGGTACAGGGCGATAGATGCTGGGGAGATCCAGGGTTGTCTCGGCTTCACCTTCACACCAGATCAGGAAGCTCCAGAGTCTCTCTGGCTCTGGACAGCCTGCCTCCCTGGCAGCGGAAAGGGAACCCCCTTCCTTTTGGACTGCTGCTCTTCCTTTGCTCTGGCATCTCTCTCTCTCTCTCTCTGTGCCATGGTAATTCCCTTGCTGTTCAGCATCAGAGCCAAGGACCGTAATATATTCAATCGTTCCACCTTCAGGGAGTATCTCATCCTTACCATAAAGTTGAGCGTATTTGATTAAGGGAGCGTGTATAATAAACTGTGAAGCAAGGAGAGGTCAAAGTAGTTGAAATGAACGGCGCTTTCTACTCTACGTGATCTTACAAAATTTACTCAGCAGGAGGAGGGGAAAGTAGAATGCAGGTGCTTGTTTCAGTTCTGCACACGTCAGCCTTAGCAAGCGCACCCCCGCGGGGCAGGAAAGAGGGGCGGCCCCCGGCCCCTGCCCTTCGCAAAGCCAGTCTCCATTGTCCCTCTCTCAGTGGCCCCTTT